GCCTTTTTGATGTTTTCTATAGATGCTGGGGAAAGGGAGAAATTAATCTAAGAGTTTTATAAGGGAGTGCCACGGGTAACCTTATAAAAAGAAATCAGGTTCAAGTTTATATGTCATAGGTGGTGAAAATTTAAATGAAAAAAAAAAGAAAAAAAAGAAAAAAAAAAGGGATTTATACATGATTCTTAAGAAAGATTTATAGAAAATTAAGGAGAGTACTGAGTAGGATTAAAGCTATTAAAAGTAAAACAGCCATCTTAAAACAGTCATCTTAAAACAACATACCTCCCCCCATTCTTCAAAATCATTCTGTCTTTGTACCTGATTGTAATCTAAAAATCTTAAACTAGTTCTTCCATGAATATCTTTATAAGTTAATGCTTCTTGTGGTGCCATAATTGTTTCTTGATTTTTTAAAAATTTATCCATATCCCATTCTAATCCTGCTAATTGTTCTGATGTATATATATATATATAGAGCCCTTGTTTGAGCCTATTCTTTGAAAAAAAAATACATTTTAAGCAATATTTTAATATCATTTCAACAACATATTATTCAATAAAATAATATTACATACAAATTCAAAACTTTTCCTTATTTTTAACAACATATTTCCTATCAATACATTATTCAAAAATGCATTCTTATAAAAAGAATAGGGGTCACACACACAAATATATATGTAAATAACTATAATTCATAAAATAAAATGCACGAAGTAAATGATAATAGATATTATTGACCTCGTTTTCTGTTAGGGTGATGCGTACAACAAATATTGGGCTCTCTCGCGTACATGTAAGCAAATTCCAAGACGTATGGACATATCATCTCACACAATTCTTACACACACATTATGTGCATTAGTCCAATATATGGAGTGCTGGTAATGTTCTGGAGTGCTTACCTTCAGGTCACATTCTTAAAGGGATCAATTACGAAGAATGAAAATGTCACCATGGTTGATACATAGGTCACAGATCATTTATCACAACTCTCATATGTAGCCTTTATATTATATTACTCACACTACGTGCATTCATCACATACATGGTTTATGCTGATTAGAGCACTAACCTTGTGACTGACAAAATTGAAGCACGTACCTATATTCTATTTCAAGCGATGATTAGTAATTCCATGACTTGCATTGGATTTCTTCTGCTGCAAATATGACTGTATTAATCAGTTGATCATCATAATATGAAATTCCATGATTACCTTTATTATTTTCTTCGACGATTGTAATTGAATTATCGAACGATTCGGAATTTGCGACGCAACTCTTCAATGCAAGGTGAAATCGTTCAATTTTTCATCGAAATCAATTGACAATTGTACCTGCTTTGCTATCGTCGATGGCTGAATTAGGTTTTCACTTTGAGAATTTCGAATGCCAGCTTAATTTTTTTAATTTTGGGATGTCGATTTTATACTGGAATGAGTCCTACTATAGAAAGAAACTATGATATATATAGACAACAATTATCGGGCCCACTCACGTACATGTATGAAAATTCCAAGACGTATGGATAGACTGTTAGTCGACAATACTCTGAATTTAAATGTGGGAGAAGCTTTATAACACAAGACAAGTATGCTTGAGTTTTAGTAATATATTTTGGGAACGATTGTGTAATAATAACCGATCGTGAACAACTCTAAGAAAGCAAAGTAATCTAAACTCTAGCAAAGCAAATGTATAGTCAGCAAGAGAGAACACAAAGAGTAGCTTTAAGTGTATCGAGCTACATTAGCCCTCAAATGATACAAAGAGATGGTACTTATAGTATTACATATGAAATGGTATCCACTGGATGAAGATACACCTAGCTTTATCTCTTTAATCGAATCATCCAATCTTAGGTGTTAATTTGAATTCGATAGCCTGTGGCACATTTAATGCTTCTATAGAGAGCAACCACCTTACAACCTAGATCGACAAGATTTGACATTCCACTTATTACAAATGTTCCATCAATCATTTCAAAAGGATCTCATACATAAATTCAAGATCTTCGTACGTGGGTCGTCATTTAATATGGTTGAGGGTATAACACACATGAAAACGTTTTTAGTGAAGTTTTCTGTTATTAATCCTTTTTTAAAAAAAATACAAGTTAGTATTTAACTTAAAAAGTTAAAATAAAGATAAATATTTACTTAAAATTTTAAATCAGTATTTTATTACTTATAAGTAAATTCAATAATTATAAGTTAATTTTGTGCTTTTAAATAATTTTTACGCATCAGTGGATTTTTTAGTTATAAGTAACTTTTTATATTTTATAAATTAATTTTTGTCTTATTAGTAGTATTTTTACTTTATAAACAATTTTCTACACAAAAGTGATTTTTCAATTATAATGTAACTTTTTGCTTATAAATAACGTTCTTAGTTAATATATCTTTATTTATAAGTTAGTTTTGTACAAAATATGTTGGTTGAAAATAATTATTTTATAAATGGTAAAATGAAAAGAAAATATGAAAAAATGGTCAAAGAATCAATTAAAAATATGCTACATTGACTTTGGGTGGTTTTTAAGTCATTTAAATTATCGGTGTCCAAAAAATCTAACAAGCATCAATTTTTTTAATCTCTCATAAATAATGTCATCCAAGATAGATTAAAATCGGCGAAGAAAAGAAAAAATACTTCCAAGCATGCGCTAAGGTTTAGGGTTTAGTTCCAACTTTTGACTTGACGTGGGGAACATCACCTTTCTACATATGAACATATTTAATTCTTCATTTCCCATCACAAAGAGATGGGACTTATAGTATTACATATGAAATGGTATCCACTGGATGAAGATACACCTAGCTTTATCTCTTTGATCGAAGCATCCAATCTTAGACATTAATTTGAACTTACTAGCCTGTGGCGTATTTAATGCTTCTACAGAAAGCAACCACTTTACAACCTAAATTGACAAGACTTTGACATTCCACTTATTAAAAAGGTCCCATCAATCATATCAAAAGGATCTCATACATAAATTCAAGATCTTCATATGTGGATTCTCACTTGCTATGGTTGAGTTTCGATTTTTACTTTTGTTGAGCTTCATCATTTGGCAAGCAGATTGAACCTGGGATGCAAATTTGGGGCTTCGTCATTAGCATGGGACCACTTTGGTGAGTATGGCTTCGACGATTCGAATCTATAGACTTCTATAATCCACGTGGCTTCATTGCAAGGGACTTCAAGGGGCCAGTCTAGTGGAGCCTATGTGGCGAGGAGTAACAGATATGAAGATTACGTACAGGACAATAAAATACTAAGAAAGAAGAAAAAATTACTAATATTTAGTTAGTTATAAACTACCATTTAAAATTGTTGTTATATATGTGAAAGAGGACTTTCTCATCTAAAGAGGGAGTGTTATACACTACTAGATCATCAATAGTGATGTAATATTCCCCCATAAAATTCTAATTGTCATTGATACACACACATATACTTAAAAAACTATATTCGTAGATAAAGCTGTGTAGATAAAAACCTATATTCGTCTATATTAGGAGTTAAATTCAGTCCAAAGAGGACTTTATGACTCTATTTGGTTTGAATAAAAATTAGATTTTTAGCAAATTTTGATACAATTCGATGAATTGTGTGGTTGAAAAATTTATAAAAGTTATGACTCTATATAATGTCTGATTAAAAATGAGTTTGAGGACAAGAATTTTAAGAAATGGATGCCAAACATGGACTAGATGCTTAGTTGTAACAATATTTTATTAAATTGAAATTGTAAAAGCAAAAAACATAAATTTGAACTAATGAGGCATATTAACTTTTATACATATTAAGTAAAGATAAATTATTATCATCTTTTTCCTTCAATAATAGTGTCAACAAATAAAATTAAAGTCTCAAAGAAAAACCATTTGTTTCACATAAAATGTTTATTAATAGCAATAGGCACATGGGTAGCGGGCAGCATGTGAGAAAGAAGGTGTAGAGAGTCGATTCCACTAACATTCCAACTAAGGATGCCATGCATGTGCAATTTGCTTATTTTTAGGTCATACCCACACCTTCACGTATCATTGGAAATATTTACACAATTGATCCTTATCTTATTTGGTTGTTACAAATTGGTATTCTACCCTTTTCCTTATTTTTCATATGAAGTAAAAATAGATTAAAACGATGAAACTATTCCATTTAAAAGAACTTGTGAAAGCTAGTAGTGGAATTTTTCCTAAACTTGCGTCAAGTAAAATGAACATCGCTACATGATTTAGTGAAATAATTAAGTAGTCGTAAATACTAACTTTTTTCAATTAATTGATTGGTAAACACTGACTCCCTTCAGCTCATCGCTATTCTCAAATTAAAGAACTAAATGTTGTTGGGTAATCAGATCTTACAAATTACGATTTCCAAGTTTGGGGTTAACTTAAAAAATAGCTTTGGTTTGATTGGGAAATTAATTTTTTTGGTAACATGAACCTCGCCTGGAGGTTGAATTGAAGTCTTGGCTATTTTTCTTAGATTTGATTAATGAATATATCATGTAAAGGAAGCATAAACCTAACTATCTATTCTCCAAGTTCAAATTCATGGACGATATCAATCAATTTAACAGGAGAAAAATGAAATATAGAATTATCGAATTATTTTATTTTGATACTATTGGCTCAATAAAACTTGGAGAGTATGAAATTATCTAAATTTGAAAAAATAATCATTTCTCAATGATAAATCATTAGCCCATTAAAGTAAGTCGTTTTCGTAGGGTAACAAGTTCTTAAAATTCATAATTTAATTAATCTACTCATGAATTATCTCTAATGTCACATCCAATTGAAAAGAACACAATGAAATGAACAATTAATAGCAGCAATAATTCTGATAAATAATTCTAAGTATTACTGAAAATGATGTTGTGAAATTAATTATTGAAAGTGAAAGAAGTAAATATTCTGTCTATTTACATTGAAACAAGGGTATCAATGGTGTTGATAATAAATGTTAAAAATAGAAATAAATTTGAAAAATACGACAGTTTTGTGAGAGAAAAACATCATGGTCACATTGCAGCAGGTAAACTAGAATCTGTGAACAATAAACAACACTCCACGTTCTATCTCAACGGATTATCGCTGGCTTCCAGTCTTGCCCTCCATGTTCCCCCTCCAAATTTCACACTAAAAACACCATCAGAATTCACACATACACTGATATATAGATACAGATATATAGAGAGAAAGAGAGATTGGTATGGCTTTTGTCCCTGCAGCAGAATCCATGTTCCCAAGCCATGAAGATGGCCATCTTCCATCCATCACAAGGGGCGGCTTTTCGATGTCTTGCGATCCTCAAGACTTCCATGGTTACCTCTTCATCTTTCTCCCTCACGTGTGCGGCTATTTGTTGAACCGTATCGAGCCTAATCATACAATATAATTTGGGTCCATTATGATGTGTGTGCTTGTTTTGTTTGTTTATTAGTGTTTCTTGTGAGTAGGGATTAGAAGCCCAAGTGTTGACTTTTTTTCTTGTGGTGGTGGTGGTGGTCTAGGTGTATCCCAATTCTTGATGAGGAGATCCACGTCGTTTTCGGGGCTCAACCGGAGCGAGGAGGTGCCGGTCGATGACGACATGTCGGACGATGGATTGCATCTTGGGGAGAAGAAAAAGAGATTGAAGCTAGAACAGGTGAAGGCACTTGAAAAGAGTTTTGAATTAGGTAACAAGCTTGAGCCTGAGAGGAAAATGAAGTTGGCTAGGGCTTTAGGATTGCAGCCAAGACAAATTGCTATATGGTTCCAGAACAGAAGAGCAAGATGGAAAACTAAACGAATAGAGAAAGATTATGACATTTTGAAGGGACAATTTCAGGCTCTCAAGGCTGATAATGCTAACCTCAAGAATCAGAATAAGAAACTTCAATCGGAGGTTTGGCTTTTTTGTTCTTCCTTAATTTTCTAGAAGAAATTCGCTACCTTAGTACCATTATAAATTTATAATCACTTTTCACTGAACAAAATTCCTGAGTTTTCATAAACTATCATACTTGTTAAATTACATGTTTCTTAATTAATTATTGCAGTTAATGGTTCTGAAAAATGGAGAATCAACTAGACCTATAAATCTGAACAAAGAAAATGAGTGCATCTGGAGCAATGGAAGTGAGAATGGCTGTGACATAAACCTAGTTGCAACAAAAGCAACACCAGCAGACAGCAAATTATATTCTCATCCAAGCAACAAACTGAATAGTTCTTCGTCAATGGGACCCAAAAGTCTAACACAACTACTACTCCAAAGTTCATCAAGGGCTCCAGATCTTCATCAGGGCCACAAGATTTCCACAAGTGATGCGTTTTGCAACATGTTCAGCAGCATTGAGGAAAACCCAGATTTTTGGGCATGGCCAGAACATTGATGAAAGTTTCACAATTAAGGTTTCCCTTTTGTTTTATTTGTCTAATACTATGATAATTTCTTGTGTCATATTAGTATTAAATAATGAAAGATTTATGTTAGTGCATGCTAATATAAAATGTGCAAGGTCATCAGGGCCTTAATGCACAGAAAAAATAAAAAAGATTCTCTGTTGGCATTTAACTTTTCAGTTGTCCAATTGTTGGTGCTACTACAATAGAGTCATTACTTTGTTGATTAAAGTAACAAAAAATAACTATTTTTTATAAAGAAAATATATAAAATTGCTGGAGAGAAGGTTCTGATGATGTTCACTAGGGATCAAGATGCAGATATTGGACAGGAAAAACGAATCGAAGCACAAATTCCAAGAGGGTAGAGGCCAAAGAGATGGAACCATATTGTTGCTCTTTCTATATTTTTTTCCGTAAAATTTTATTTAATAAATGTCTAATTATATTGAGCATTGAGTGATGTGTACTAAATATGCTTTTATCAAATGACAAATGAATATAATAATTGATAATTTTGATGATGTTATATAAACATTTATTCAATCACAAGTAGATGCAATAACTCAATTGCTAGGGGCGACAATGGGTGAAGTGAAGTTGGTCCATGAGTAAGTAGCCACCCCTAATCAACTCGATCCATGAGACATGCCCATAACGGAACAAACACAGTATGGAGCTTTTAGGTTTTCATTTTTTAAGAAAAATATAAAAAAATTAATAAAAAGTAAAAATGTAGAAATTAAACAAGGAAATAAAAAAGTACGGAGAGTCTGTGAAGCCCAAAACTTTACTTCCTGAGCCTAGCCAACGAAACTCCGATCTCCGCTTGGCCCATGGGCTTGTGGTGGCATGATTCGAGCTAGCCCATTAAGCAGGCGAGACATTTCAGACACGACGCTATTCCTATCAATAAAAGAAAGAAAAAAAAGGAAAAAAAAAAAAAAAAAAAAAAAAAGGAAGAGGAAGAAAAAAATAGAAAATTTTTACCAACATGTTAGAAAATAAGTTCTTCTACTATTAGGCTTGAATTCTTCAAAGTTAAATGTAAGTAAAAAGTTACTTATTGAAATGTTATATTTAATTTTATAATTGTTAGATTAAATTCAATTTTATTAAAAGGGTTAAGTATAATAAGCTATTTAATCGAGTTAAATAAAAGAAAAATTAGTTTAAGGGATTAAAGAGACTTTAGAAATCGCTTAAACGTGAAATGATTAAATTTGAATATTGCTTATTTAATTATTGAAATTACTTAAAGTAACTAATTGTTGATTTAAATATTATATCATATTTCAAGCGGGGATACGAATATTGGGATAGTTTACCAACCGAGTTGATTTTGCGTACATAATTTTGTGAGTGGAAAAATATAAATATTTTTAAAGTATTTATAAATTAAGTATATTATCAAAGTATGTATGAGTTCGATTATATGATTATTATGGAAATCTCTTTTATTATGATACATGTGGAATATCAAAAATTATTTTTATGGCATATTTGCGACTTGATATGTAAGATATGTGATATTGAGATTTTTTTGATATGTGAGACATAATATTGAGTTCGTCCATAAAAGTATCCATAATTATATACCTCTTCTAGTTCACAGAGGGGTTTTGGCCGTATTCTATCCTATACGGAGGGATCTTAACTTGACATTGGACTTAATTATGTACATATAGTTCATAGAGGGTCTTTGACCGTGTTCCAGAATTGATTACTAGAGATCTTGAGGTTGGCTTTCGTTCACAAAGGAGCCCAAAGGCTTGTGGCGAAAATTCTTAACCCAAAGGCGGACTACAAATTTCAGTCAGATGGTACATTTTTATAGATTTTTTCAATACATTTGATGTGATGAGATTATAGTATAATTATCAGCTTATGTTTATAATGTGATTTGAGATGATATTTTATGACGTTATGTGGATGTCTTACGTTTTGGCTATAATTATATAATGTTATCTTGTGAATTATTCAATGATGTGAATTCGATTTTCGATAAAAAATGTAAAATGGAAAAAGTATATTTATTTTCGATCTTCTCCACTCACTGAATTATCAACACATATATTTTCTCACATTTTTCTTATTAGGCAGCAATGGAGTTTCTAGACATCTTTTGAAGTTGAACCTTGATTTTGGAGTCAAAGTCACACGATAGATGTTGTTAATATGACTCACTTCATAGAGCATATAGTCAGTATTTTGGGACGCATGTTCATGTCTAGAGGTGATTTTGTATGATTTGTAAATGATTAGGGGGCTCACTATGTATTTTGTATCTATACGTATATTTTATGTTATTTCTAGGTAAAAGTTGATATTTCGACTTATCTCTATTTTTGGGATTTGTGTGTAATTGATCACAGGTTGGTTAGTCTTGTTTACAGGAGAGATAATGTCGAAATTCTATTAGAAAAATGATGTATAAAAAGTGATATATTGTACTTGTAGTAGTCTTGATAATGGGTTCGACTTTTAGCTGATATCTATCGTTGACGCATGTCACATTCGGGTCCAATAGTATTACACGGGGTGGGGTGTGTTAGTCATTAACATAATGATATTTAAAGGAGGCACTAATTTACAAATTTTCCGTAGTCCAAAATAGAGTTATAAATTGAGAGTTGAGAATTAAGATTCGAATGAGCCAAAATGGACTATTTGGGGACATTAGGTCCATGGATTCGATATACACGATCCAAATCCACAGCACTTGATTGGGCAAACAATAGAGAATATATTTAATCCTTGCTTACTATACATTCAGTGAAATCTCTATTTTGTTACTAAACTTTAATTTATCTTAAATAAATTATCGAATTTCAATTCAGTTGCACATTAAACCACCATGTCAATGTGACATGTTGTTCCGACACAAACAAGTATTGCTTAGTTGGTAGCTAAATCATGACAACAATTTCATGTAATAAATGTGTGATATGCTAAGTCATTTTTTCACAACTTAAAAGTGTTAAAATTCACTTTAAAAAAAAAAAAAAAAGAGAGTATAAATAACTCAAATTAAAAAAATAAAAATAAAAATAAAAAAGTATAAATTGAACCACCTGATAAGTATAAATTCTTAGATTAAGCCCCTGTTTGGCCCCCATTACGGGGAAAATTTAATGTATAGAATAGTGTTTTTTGAAAAATGAGTGGTTGAAAAAGAAAGAAAAATTTTCGATTTACGTGTAATATTATTTTATGGAAGATTGTGTGGTTGAAAATAGGAGAGAGGAAAAATAGAATGTAATGTAATGAAAATCAAACAAGGGCTAAATCACATGTATACTATTTAAATGTTATTTTCAACACGGCCCTCACATGTAAATATAGTTTAATTTTTTTCTCTATCAAAACATTTTATTTTCATAATTTAAATGGGTGGAGCATCAATTTCAGATTATGCAATGCAATTACACAGGACAGAGGACTTCTTGAGAAAATAATTTTTTCAAAAATTAAAATCAAATTTTAATAAATTTTGATAAAATATGGATAAAATATGTAATTAAAAAGTTATGAGTACGATAAAATATATGTTAAAATTAATTGTTAAAATTAAAATCTAAATTATAATCTCTACCAAACACGGGCTTTATTTCCTCTTCGTTTTCATCATATTTTCTTCTGTCTATTCATTTGAACTACATACCAGCCACATCCAAAGGCATAGTTAAATGCATGATCAATCCTAGGTCTATGTTCATGTTTGCTAAAATTTAAGTTATAACTTAAGTTGTTTGAACATACATAGTGGAACTTACAATCATTATTCACTTACAATCATGTTATAAGTATAGACAATTTTAATAGAAAATTTTGACAGACAACACACGGCTTGAAATAATTAAAAAATGGAAAGAAAACAAATAAAATAGGCAAATCCGATTCCGTCATTTCAACATCTATATGAATTCGATAAGAAATTCCATATATTTAAGGCCTTTTCCATTCACCTAATATCTATATATTCTGTAGAACCACATCTTATAATAACTCCAAAGCATGCTATAATTTGTATATTAATTTTAAAATCCAAATAGGTACAAGTATTAACTTCAATTTCATTCCCTTCTCTTCAAACTAGGGGTGGCAAATGCGTTGAGCCACTCACGAACTTGGGTTGTCCAGACTAAGACTCAATTTGAGACGAACCATGGAACTTTTTTTTTTTCCTTCCCACGAAATGGCTAGTTTTGGGCTCGAGGATTAGCTCCTTTTTTTTTTTTTTACTTATTTTGTCATGTTTTTTTTTTCTAAAAATACAAATTGGGTCATGAGCTCTTGGATGCTGCGCTTAGTTCATGAAGTCCGCGAACCAAAGGATTGAACCGAGTCTAGTTTGTGAACACAAGTTTAGATCGAACTCGGATCGTGGACTTCATGAGCTGAGTTCACAGCTCGTCCAGAAGGCTTAGCCGAGCAATGCCACCCCCTTCTTCAACGTAGTTATATAATTAGTATGTTGAAATCCAGAGTTTAGCTTAAGATTAATCTAAACAAAGGAAAAAAACATAAAAGAAAAAGTAATAAATGAGCAAAAGAACAACACCGTATTTGTTAAATGTTAATGCATGACTACAGCAGACAAAAGTACCTTAACCCAAATTTAAAAAGGAAATTGGCAATAAATCCCAGTAAAAGCATTAGAGAAAGTTCTAAACCTACCAAGAACATACTTTTTTTATATAAAAGACCAATCCGAAATCAAGTATCAAGTTATCACATCTGAACTAGCCATTAGTATTTCACCTTCAAAATATTTCCTGTCACCTCAAAATCGAAATCTTTTATTTTTTTTATTTTATCCCACTTCTTTTCAGGCATAACGCACGTTTATCTCTTACTTCCCCAATTCTTTTTCCTTTCTTCTGATTTTTTCGCTATAATTTTCCAACAACGCACTCTGTCTCCCACCCACACTCACATTGTTTGGCCTCGAAAACATCTCGTGTCAGTCTCTTTCTTCGAACAAACCATTTTTCTTCGAAATGGGCCTACACAGTATATTACTGATTGTTCTTTGTCCAGCGTTTTGAGTTTGTGTGTTTGTATGTGCGAGTGAAAAAGAAGAGTGTGCTAGTGTAATTGCTTTATTTTTCAACATATATTCTCAGACCTGGGTTTAAAATTCTTACATTGATCTTTAGTTTGTCGTTCATTGTTTTGCATGTTCTTTACATAATTAAGAAAATGCATTTCGAACCATTTTTGCGCTTTTCACTTAATTTTCTCATCCGGGCTTATGATTTTTTTATTTTTTATTTTTTGGGTTTTTTCAATTCAATCATTTCTTTTGTTTTATCAAATTTTTATGAAATAAAGTTTCATTAGTTTAACTGGAAAATTTCCCCTTTGTCTTATCTGATTAGTTTGGTATCTTTTGATTAGTAAAAAACAAAAATTAACCAAAAAAAAAAAGAAAAAAAAGGAAAAAAAAAAAAGGAATCTTTGGATAAGGGCAGAGTGAAAAGAGGGGGCTTTTGATAAATTTAGTATTCAATCTTTGATATACGGAATTTTCTTCTAGGGTTTGGATGAAAATGGTGCTAGGTCTTGAAGCTATCAATGCTGATTCTATGAATGCGGGCAAATCAAAATCAAAGGGAAGAAAAGACATACACAATGATGATGATGAAGATAATGCTGAGGAGGCTGGTTGTTGGACTAAGTTCAGATTTTTCGGACGCTGCTTATCCTCCAGGACTAAAGATGATAGCTCTGTTAGTGGCTCGAGCTCTAAATATGGTATACAATTAACAACTTTCTGCATTGTTGTTTAGATAACTTACCAATTTTCGAGATTATTGATATGGGTGGTTCTTGTTTTTTTATTTTATTATTATTATTTTTAATCATTTTTGGACATGAAGAGGAACAGATTATGCTAAAATTAATTCATTGTTGCTCTATTTTTGTAGAATGTGTTGGAATTTAATGTGATGATTACACGTGACTATCTGCCTGTAAAGGTGCAATTTAAATGTATGTTTTGTGATACACCAGTGAATGATGTTTTCGTCGGATTTTGCTAGCATTATATCGAAGCATATTTGTCTTTACCCTATGAGATTCTGTGACTATGACAGTTACACTTTTCTTAAATACATGTGTGCATGTCATGGTAATCGATATATGTTTTCTGCATCTTGTTCTAAGCCATTGAGCTTATGAGAATAGCATAATCATTATTTATGCTAGGTCTTCCTTTTTCCCGAAAGAAGTTTGCTATCATCTTTGAAACTGGAAAAAGTAGGAAGTTCATGTTTCTCTTTCTCACTATCCATTTAGTATGAGTATAGTATTCGAAGAAAGAGGAAGAATAAATTAAACAAGGAGCGAGGAATAACCTAAACAACATCCTTGGTGACATGGGAAAGAAAAATTAGAAGATACTTCTACCACAAGGTTTATTCGCATGCTCATTGTGACTTTGATATGTTAACTTTGTTTGACGCTTCAGTATTAGACTGTTTATACAGTTTCTCTGTCATTTACCATCCACAAGGAAACATGTGCAGTGGTTTTAATGACCAAAGTTTTTACTCGAGAAGCGTTCTTCCATTAGATCATGAAAAATCTCTTAGGGTACTCGATATGTAATGTTTTCATACATTAAAATGATTTTCTTTCTCTTTCCAGTTTCATTCCATCTTGGATGTCTCAAGAGGCAATCATCAAATTTGGGAAGAAACTTCTGATTTTTGGTGTATGAGATTCCCTTTTGTTGTTAGCAAAATGTATGGATTATCTGAAAGAATCCGAAGTTTAAGGTGGGAGAAGATAAATTAAAATTGGTGATATAATGAATTTAAGAAACTTACTTATTACTTTGTCTTTGCACGATAAATGCTGCATGGTTGCTGCTCTTTGTACATCTTTTACCCGATTTTGCTTGTGCATCTTATGGAGAAAACTACAGTGACTTAACAACTGGGTCCGGTGTTGTATAACAATTCCGTACTTCTTTGCGATCAAGATCGCAATTTGGGGAAACTTTGTCCTGCACTAGGTGTCAATAGTCGACAACACCTATTACTCGTGCATGATTTACATCCTTTTCACTTTGACAAGGGGCGTAAGGTAGAAATCTTGACAACTTAATATATATCTGTATTAAGTGTTTTCTCAGGCATGGTAAGCTGGCAATTATACAAAAACCAAGCTATATGATCATCTCTTGTCTTTCAACATTTCAAGATCTGTATTTAATATTTCTGATATGACTGTCTTGCATATATTACAGAATTGTGGATAATTTTAGTCGATGTAAAACTTTATATTACATAGTTTGTTGATAATTAGTTATTTGAGAAGTTCCTCTAACTTTAACCAAGAAGGCTTTTTGCAAACGTATTTGATGAATACTGCAAATAGGTGAGGAATGTCCCTTTTCTAAGTGCTTTGTAGGTTTGTCTAGCATACTACTACTCACATACAGACTCATTGGGTTCAGATATGCTGTTCAGGTTATAACTATTGTAAAGAATTTCAACAGTTTCAAATTATTCAATATAACCATAAAATGCATGCTGTGTGATTTTAATAAGACCTAGTTCATTGCAATTTTTCTTGTAATGTTATATGTTAGATATTGACATATTGTGCTCTGAATGGATGATTTAGAACTTTGATATGACTTTGGAGAAGTATTTTCGCAATTGGTTGTGCTTGAACATGTTGCCACTGCTCAAAAATTATAGTGGTCTCTTGTCATGGACGGGTCTATTCTATTTCTAGCTTAAATGGTAGGATTTGTTTCCAATCTTTTTTATTGTGTTGAAACATGCCTATAAGGATTTGATGATACATATTTGGGTGTAACAGCTGAAAGTAAATCTACAAATGATACGAGTAGAGACCAACCAGTTGCTCCAGTCATATCATCTTCGACAACCAGCAACACAGAAAGTATACCATCTACTCCTAATGTAGGCGAGGAATTGAAAATTTCTTCTCAGCTTCGAAGTTTCACCTATAATGAATTGAAGATTGCAACGAGGAACTTTAGGCCTGATAGTCTCCTTGGGGAAGGTGGCTTTGGTTGTGTTTTCAAAGGTTGGATCGACGAGACTGGATACACTCCTGTGAAACCTGGCACAGGGCTCACAGTTGCCGTGAAAACTCTCAATCATGATGGACTTCAAGGCCACAAAGAGTGGCTTGTACGAAACTACTTTCCTTTATTCATGAATTAAGGGCACATATTTTTCTGTATACTCAAAAGTCAATCACACTTTGCAGGCTGAAGTAAATTATCTCGGTGAGCTCATCCATCTAAATTTGGTTAAATTAATAGGCTATTGCATAGAGGATGACCAAAGGCTCTTGGTCTATGAATTTATGCCTCGGGGAAGCTTGGAGAATCACTTGTTTAGAAGTATGTATTTGTTTTTTTCCGAAGTTCTTTTACATCTCTGCTATTCACTATTTTTGTTTTAGGACCTCTAGGTAAATCTTTTAGATATAAGCAAGAACTTAGATGCAATTTGTGATATGCTTGTTCTCTGGAAATAAGATTTATTTTATCTAGACTAGCTTATAGCAAAAATATATGTTTACTTCTATACCATATATACAAATGGTTATTAATACGTATATGACCTTGATCTTTTAATTCTGTTATTTTCCCACACCCACATGTAAACTAGGTTTCATGATAATGCACACAACAGTTTGCGTAGATCAACTCTTGGCTTCTTTAAGGGCTTCTGCATCTGAAAAGATCAAGTTTTTTCCTTTATCTTTAGCTGTTCTTTGTAGGAGGAACATTGTGTATTGCTGGATTTTGTGAACTTTGTTCTTATATTAAGAGGATTCCTTGTTCTCTTGCTGTACATATCTTTACACCATGACTAATAAAGTTTTATTTTTTAACAAAAAAAGATGGACTTGTGGGCTTCATTTCATTAGCTCTCCATTGCTAAAAAGAATTTCATCTGAACAACAAGGTTACATGTCAAGATGGGAGCAGGATCAAGTTCTGTTACTTAACATAAAAAAGGGATTTGTGGGCTTTATTTCATTAGTTCTGTATTGCTAAAAAGGATGTCTTCTGAACAACAAGGTTACATGTCCAGATAAGAGCAAGATCACTGACTGGTATCTAAAACCTACCTGCTTGGCATTCCATGATGACTGTAAGAGTAGGGATAGAGAACATAAACATGCAGATACCTTCCTCTCGCAAATTATTGCATGTAAGTTGTAATTTGAATAAATAGAGATAAGATTACTGTGACCTGAGATTTGTGTTGAAAAATAATTCCCTTTGGAATTGTGCGGAGAAGGTGACTTGTTATGCTGGTAATTGTTTGACCAAGCTGGCTCATTGATGAAGTGGGTCATTATGGGCTCCACTAGTCTTCGTGGTTTTCCTTTTCCGTTCTTAATACATTGACTATATCCTTATAAGGTAATCTTAGATAACTGGATCTATTAAAAAGGCAGGAGGTTGGCTTTACTTTCTATAAAAATCTGTGCCCATGTGCACATTTGGTTTTCAGTAAAGCGCCTTAGAAAGGCTACGCCATCGTTTAAATGTTCTTGTTAATCCATTTTGATCTTTTATTCTTGCTCTAGAATAACTTCTGTTTTCCTTGTATTTCATTTAATTCTATCTTTGTCATTTGGAGCTGGATGATGTCTTTGCCAAATGGCATATTGTGCAGGCTAGTATTCTTTGTTATTTCTTCACTGCTCATTATGCTAATTTGGTATTGCTGTATTCATGCAAGTGAAATGTTCTGCATACATGGAAGCTGGGTCACTTGTGACAAAAGGCTACCTGCAGTTTATATTGTAGTAGCTTGCATCCTAAAAGTGCAGCGTCAGCTTTATCACTACTTTCCGACTTTTTCCCTCTAATCTTATTTCTCTTGTTAGTATCACGTGTAACGAATCATTTCATCTTGATTGTTATGGATGATAAACATTTTACTAGACAGGTCATCTTTGGTTATGGGGTTCACACCTTACAAGTGATCATGCCAATATTCTCTTTGCTGCAGGGTCCCTGCCTCTTCCATGGTCCATAAGAATGAAAATTGCATTGGGTGCAGCAAAGGGACTTGCATTTCTTCATGAAGAAGCTGAAAGACCAGTTATATATAGAGATTTTAAAACATCAAACATCCTACTAGATGCAGTATGCAGCTTGAAATCCTAGCTTATATTGTAATGGTTTCGTGATTCCTTTTCTGATGGCTTTGCTTTTCATAATTGTCACTCTAGGATTATAACGCGAAGCTTTCTGATTTTGGTCTTGCCAAAGATGGTCCTGAGGGAGATAAGACACATGTATCTACTCGTGTGATGGGAACATATGGCTATGCTGCCCCCGAGTATGTGATGACAGGTGAGCAAACTTTGGCCCCTATCTGGGCAATTATTTTCTTCCGGATTTCACTCCATTTTTAAATTTATTGAGGAATATCTAATAGTTCACATAAAATAACAATCTCATGGCTAGGGTTTTATTTATTTATTATTTTATTTATTTTTTATTTTTTATGTCATAAATAAACTTTCTTTAAAATCAAATGTTACATGCTGAATTGCGTATGTTCAATTTTACACAAGCTACTGTTTAACAAAGATAAATGCCTTTTTGGGGAATTCTGCTGTCACCTTTAAAAGCCCTTGACTGTTTGAGTGCCTGACAGAATCAACTGAGTTACAATGCAGAGTACCAAATATCAAATTTGAAAGGAAAATTGCTGTCAGTAGATCTGGGCCTAGCTGTTTAATAATTTACGGTGAATTTAAAATTTTCATCTTTGAGAATGGAATTATGCTTTTCAAGGCTGTGAAATTTTACAAATTTCTCTCTTCCCCTTGGAATTTTATTTTTATTTTTCTTTTTCCTTATTCTTCTTGCATGACACAGCTTATTGTGTGCCAGGACATCTAACAGCAAAGAGTGACGTGTATAGTTTTGGTGTGGTTTTGCTTGAAATGTTGACTGGGAGAAGATCTATGGATAAAAGCCGACCAAATGGGGAACACAACTTGGTGGAATGGGCAAGACCATATCTCAGAGAGAGAAGAAGGTTCTACAGGCTCATAGATCCCCGTCTTGAGGGTCATTTCTCAATCAAAGGTGCGCAGAAGGCTGTGCAGTTGGCGGCTCTATGTCTTAGCCGTGATGCAAAAGCTCGACCTCTGATGAGTGAAGTTGTGGAAGCCCTTGTACCGCTGCCTAATTTGAAGGACGTGGCTTGTTCCTCCTCCTATTTCCAGGCCATGCACTCGGAACATGCTGGTGCAAACATAAATGCAAGAATTGGAGTTAGAATGCATGTTGGTGGTTCCCTAAAGAATGGGCAGCCAAGTTGGAGTCCAACCATGCCATCCCGTCTCCACGCCTCGCCAAATCATCATATTCAACCTCTCAGTTCACCAAAACTGGACAAATAATAACCAGAACGTGTTCGTATCATTCTTCTAAAAATTCTTTTGTCATGTGACTGATTCTCTCATTGAAGGTGAGGCAAGTTACTTAAGCTGCAGTTTTGGTGGATGTTTGGACTCTTTTCGCTTGTTTGGTGAAATGTGAGTTGGTATTTCATAGGCAAAATGACCGGAATTAGATGTTTTGTGGATAGTTTGATTCCAATACCTTTTTTGTTAAGACTTTCTTATAAAACATTCCATATTTTGGATCATCCCTCTTCATCTTAAGATTTTTAGCGTCCTTTATGATTATAGATCGGGTCAAGTTGATAGAATCCCTTTTTATATGTGTACGGACCACTCGAGTGACTACAGGAGAAAATTGAAAGTGTTCCAACCCCTCTCCACAGCTGTCATTATCACTTGCTTGTTCTTCGTCCAAATCCGTACTATCTTTCTTTGGGACTTTGAAGAAGAATTACGTGCGCACATTGCAATTGAAATGAAAAAAGAGCAGTGATATCGAGTTCCTCTCCATGATTTTGTAATATTGAATCCATAGTCGATTACATGCCTTGGGCAACACGTGCTAAAATGGACGAGGCAAAGGGTCTCGATCTCACAAGGGTGAGCTAACTCCAAAAACTTGTCCTCAGTTCGGATTGTAGGCCGCAACTCGCCTCCATAAGGTCGGAATCGTTAGTAATCATCTTTCAACCAAATGGCAGTGAATTAGTTCTCGAGCCTTGTACGCACCGTCCATCACACCAAGGGAGATGGTCATGCCATATCGTTGCCTTAATCGCAAATAGAGGGAAGTCAAAGGCAGGGCTAGTGATTGGAGTAAAGTTATAACAAGGTAATCGTACTGAAAGGTGTGGCTGGATCACTTTCTTTTCATTAAGAGATAATGCTTGTTGGGTATTTTGGTTTGAAACTGCTGCTGCAACTTCCCCATCTGCCTACTGATGTTAATAGTTAATACGCTACAATAATTATCATCAATAACAACTTCCGCCCCGTTCCACATCAATAAGATTTCCTATCAGGCTCTCCAATCCAATTCAAGATTCGCACATGTATGGTAAAAAGAGTCAACCAGGGATTTGGAGAGGATAAACGCACGAGCACGGCCATTTCTAATACTTTGAAATAGCTGAAATAGATTAGAGGAAGGTTTCTTTTTCTCCGTTTCTATCAATTTGCGACTAATACGTACAACTGAAGATTATGTTATATATGATTATCACATCCTAATTAGAATTGAAAGTCATATCGAGGAATCGAAGGTCACACAAGAGGAACTAAAGGTCACAAACCAGTGATTTACAATCATATATAAGGAATCAAAATTTACAAAAATGGTGACCATCATAATGACTCAGCAACTTAAACATGTATTTGTTAAGATTCATGAAAGGAAAATTGTCATTAATTATTCAAAAAAAAATATGGCAAAATGAAATAAAGGTCAAAATATTTATCACATCTCCTTACATGAAGGCGACTTCTATAACAGACATAAAAAGATAGAAAATCAAGAGATATTTAAAAATCGCCTTCATGCTTCGATCAGATGAGTATGCTGAATTCAGTTTGGTGTTTTGTTGCTTTTAACCGAAGGGTTAATGGAGGATTGGTGAGAAATGAGAGAATTATGTTTTCATTTTCTCATTTATTGAAGTTTGGATTATTTAAGCCAAGAAGAGCCAAGAAGGATCTGAAATACACCAGAATGAGGGCAGCCAGTGCACGTGATGCTGCTGATTTTGATTCCAATTTTGTTAGGCTGTTAGTGTGCAAATTATTGTGCAGTAAATTCTGTATATTTCTGTTATAGGAAAGTTGTATAAATAGGTCATTTTTACTCTCTCAATATACACACGAGAATGAAAGCAATTGAATGATATTTTCAGCAAATTCCTTTTGATCTCCATTTTGCAATTCATTTTATCACCATTTCCTTTATGGTATCAGAGCCTTAATGGCTGAAAACAATGACAATGGCATCAACATTGATGCTGATCAAAATCAAACAACAACTCAAAACACAAACACAAACTCAAATACAAATCATCATGATCCATCTCTTCCTAACAGCCCATACTTCATTGGGGCAAATGAAAGTTCAGGAGCCTTGCTTGTGACACAAATGCTGGATGCAAACAACTACCATTCCTAGGAAAGGTCAATAAAGAGGGCCTTGAGAATCAAAAACAAGCTTGGGTTCATCGATGGTAGCCTCTGTGCACCAGCTGATGCAGAAAATCCATTGATGGAACACTGGCTTCGTTGTAACGATATTGTTATCGGCTGGCTGCAAAACACCATGATAGTGGACATTAAGGCAAGTACACTCTATGTGGAGACAGCACACCAGCTTTGGGTAGAGATGGAGCAACGTCTTGCTCAACAAAATGCCCCCAGAATATATGTAATCAAACAAGGCATTGCAGCACTCATGCAAGGACATGACACTGTAAGCACTTATTTCTCAAAACTCAAAACACTTCTTGATGAATTGATCAACTATGAGTCTATTCCCAACTGCACCTGTAGGGGGTTAAAAACAGTGGTTAGTAATCAGGAACGAGATTGGGTAATGAAGTTTCTCATGGGACTTAATGAATCCTACAAAGTTCTTAAGGCTCAGATTCTCCTGATCAAGCCATTCCCAAAATTGAATGAAGTATATTCACTAATTCAGCAAGAAGAAAAGAGAAGGGAAATCTCCAATGATGCTCTTGCTGCTGAAGGAATGGCACTAGTGTCAAGAATGGATATGAGAGAGGTAGAGAAGAAGAATACTGGATCACCAAAGAAATATTACTGCACCTTTTGCAAAATGGCAGGGCACTCGTTGGAAAGATGTTTCAAGGCCAATAAGGATAAATCAACATGCACACATTGCAAAATGCCTGGCCATACTATCAGTAATTGTTTCAAAATTCATGGTTATCCACCAGGCCATAAGTTCTACAACAAACCACAGGTGAATTTCACCTCTATAGATCAGAATATGCCTCCTATGGGATCTGCACAGGAGCGAATCAGTGACAAGAATCAAGTGGTTTTGACTCAGGAGGAATATACCCAGTTAATGGCTCTAATTAAGCCATCAATCAATCAGCCTCATTCACCTTCTGCCAATCATGTTCAGGGTTTGAATTCTCTTTCTCTAAAACACACAAATGTATCCAAAATCTCTTGCACTTACACATGTTCTTCTGCTCACATTGATGATTTTACCACCATGCCTTGGATTGTGGACACAGGAGCCACAGACCATATGGTCTGCTCAATATCCTTCCTCACAACCATTAAAGAAAAAATTCCCCAACCTGTCACATTACCTAATGGTGCTATGGCCTTGGCCACTCACATAGGAAATGTTAAAATCACAGAAAATTTATTGCTTCATAATGTTCTGTGTGTTCCATCTTTTTCATTTAATCTCATATCCGCAACAAAACTCACTCAAGGATCTAATTGCTGCCTTATCTTTTCTTCCAATTTATGTTATGTGCAGGACCTTACAACTTGGAGGACGATTGGTCTGGGTGAAGTGAGGAAGGGGTTGTATCACTTGGTGCCAAAAGAGGTTTCTCCTACCATGCTTGATTAAAACTTACCTAAGTTAGTCAATAAGGCTGTTCTGTCAGTCTCAGCTGATGACAGCCAAGAAAATTTCGATCTATGGCACTTTAGGTTGGGTCACCTTTCAGATTCTAGGATGGACTTGACTGACTTCCGACCTAAAACAAAGCACATCCAAAAATATTGTCCCATCTGCCCTCTAGCAAAAATGCATAGATTACCATTCACAATTAGCCAACATAGGTCCAAAGAATGTTTTGATTTGCTTCATTGTGATTTATGGGGTCCTTGTACTGATATTGCCTATGATGGATCAAAGTATTTTCTTACCATAGTTGATGATCATAGCCGATGCACTTGGGTTTATTTACTGAAATTGAAATCTGATGTTTCCACAACTTTACAAAACTTTTACACATTGATAGAAATGCAATTTAACTCCAAAATCAAAACCATTAGGACTGATAATGGAGGGGAGTTTAATCTGAAACAATTTTACTTGCAAAAGGGTATCATTCACCAAACCACATGTGTTGAAACTCCCCAGCAGAATGCTGTAGTTGAAAGGAAGCACCAACACATATTGAATGTAGCCAGGGCCTTGAAATTTCCAAGTGGATTGCCTATGATCTATTGGAATGAATGCATATTAACATCTGTTTTCCTCATAAACAGAACCCCCAGTCCCATCCTTGAGAACAAAACACCATTCGAACTTCTTTTCAAAACCAGGCCAAACTATTCAAACCTGAGGGTGTTTGGGTGTCTTGCATTTGCTAGCACCCTTGCACACAATAGGCATAAATTTGACTCAAGGGCAAGGAAATGCACTTTCATAGGTTATCCCTTTGGGACCAAAGGCTATAAAATGTTGGACATGGAAACTAATAAAGTGTTCATATCAAGAGATGTAATATTCTATGAAAATATTTTTCCTTGGAAAGCATCTGCCACTAAAGCCAGATATGAGTCATCAAATCCCACCTACAAACTACCAAGTCCTGAAAATCTTCCTTATGCTCAGCCAAGCAACATTGACCTAAGCTATCAACCACAAATTGGAACCTCACAAAATCTCAGTCAACAAATAGATTCTCCAGAAACACACCAAAATTTTACTGAAATCGAATTGTCACCGAATGCATCAATTAGTCCTCATATGCTTCGAAGATCTACCAGAAATAAAAGAGCACCTATTTACCTAAATGATTTCATATGTCAACAGGCTTCCTCACTCACTCATTCTCAAGAGTTCACCAAGAAAGGGGGTGCCATAACTTTAGGTAAACCTTTCCCTCTAAATGCAACACTTTCTTATCATAAATTGTCTGACAAACACAAAGCACTATCTATATCTTTACTTGAACATTCAGAACCCACTACTTACCAAGAGGCTGTCCAGTATCCTGAATGGTGTGAAGCCATGCAGGCTGAAATTAAGGCACTTGAGTCAAACCAGACTTGGATTGTCACTGATTTGCCTCTTGGAAAGGTACCTATAGGATGCAAATGGGTGTACAAGGTGAAGCTTAATGCTGATGGAACAATCGAAAGACATAAGGCAAGGCTCGTGGCAAAGGGTTATACCCAGCTAGAGGGAATAGACTACCATGAAACCTTTTCGCCTGTGGCAAAACTGGTGACAATCAGGACATTACTTGCGATGGCAGCAGTG